ATAAACCCAGTCCAATCACTAATTATTAACACTGTAACATGTTCCTCTCCAGCATCATTTTAATTCTGGAGCTTTCTTTCATGCTTACCTAAAGGCAACCAAGGGAATTAACAGAAGATGTTGTATTTCCTTGGGAATAATACCTGGGTGAAACTGAGATAAAAGTTATTCAACTCTCAGATTACTACGTCATAGGTTAAAAACTGAATCAAAAAGAAAACGAAACTTTTCCTGTTCTTCATTTGTGATTAATTTTTGATATAAGTATTGAAAAAACAAATAGATCAACAATTCATAGATTTTAACTATTAACTTGGCTTTAGTGTGAAAAGGACTAATCAATAAAATATAAAACATTGTTTAAATCTTACTAAAATAAATATAGTATGGCCCAAAAGTCTTAGTGCACTTTTATGCTGAAATTACTTCAGAAGTAGAAATGCTTCAAAATTTATGTATTTTTCACTGTCACTTATTTAATTCTGTGAATTTGGAAAAATACATTTTAATTTTTAGTCTCTTTCATTGAAGATGGCAACACTAACTGAAACAAAACATTAAAGTTAAAATTTTATTTCAGTGTTTCCAAAAATTAACAAGCGTAAAAGAGAGTTAAATACTGAAAATTTCAAATGATTTTTTAAGCTTTTTTTTAATAGACTATATATTTTTTAGAGCAGTTTTAGATTAATAGCAAAATTGAGCAGAAGGTGCAGAGATTTCCCATGTACTCCCTGACTCCACACATGCATAGCCTCCCCCATTGTCAACATAGTGGTACCCCACCATATGGCACACCAAATGATATTTTTACAATATTCCCCCACAGTGGCACCCTAAATGATATTTTTCAAAGTTTTTAGCATTTACATTCTTGAAGTTCTCAAAGCTTAAAACAGCACTAAGACTTTAAGGACATCCCGTATTTTCAAGAGCAATAGGGGTTTTTTTCCTTCACAAAGGAATCACCCAGAAAATCTTCTTGGATATGAAAAGAACACTGTAGAAACTTGCTTACTGATGTGTGTGGCAGTTGTACTGTGGTGAAAATAGCATAGGATATGGAGTTAGAACTGGGTTCATATTGTGGCTCAGTCACCATACTAGTTATCTCATCGTGAGCAAGTAATTAAATATTTCTGAAGACTTAGTTTCAGAAGCAAAAAAGTGTGGTTGTGTAGTGAAATGATATAATGTACGTGAAAGGCCATGGGTTACATAGATATATAAATTATTATTGTTATGGTGAAAACAGTAGAATGACTGTCTGGTGTGAAGCGAGTTGGTTAAGTATGATGTAATCTGCTCTACCGTAAACCTGGACTAAGAGTGAAGAGCCCCAAAGGGACCATCTCTAGGAACGATCATGTTAGCTAAAGAAGAAAGTCTCTGGCCAGATTAATCTATGGGGCCATACTTCTTAATTATTTAATGGTAACCATGGAATAAGCCCTGGGAAACTATGCTCAAATTTCTACCAGTGGGTCAGAGGTAACTTTATTTTCTCTATGTGAAATGGACATTTTAGAAAAGCTCAAATGAAATTTTTATTTCACTAACCTCTTTCTTCTTTAAACACTGGAAATTTAATTGCATAAAACTCAAACTCTCTCTTGACCTATTCCTCACAGCCAGCCTCCAATCACTCACCAATTTCTGACTCTACTTCCCAATTATTTCTTATATTGACTCTTCCTCTTCACCCACACTGCAACTATGTTAGGTCAAATTCTACTTATTTTCATCTGAACCATTATAATAGCCTAATTAATCACCCACTCATACATTTTCTAACTAGTCAACCTGCTCATGTCACTTCCTTGTTCAAAATTCTTCAAACGTTCATGTTACCTAAACGATAATGCATACAGAAGGAGAGTGTAGTTCTTGGTAAGAGAAATGAACAAGCAGAGATCTCTTTGTCATGAGTCTGTCTTTCCCTCAGGAGTGGTAAGAAGGGTGTTGTGGTTTCTTTGTCTTGAGAAGAATTCAAAGATACTAAGTTGGTGGGAGTGGAAAGCACGCAGAGGGCAGGGATGTTCAAGAGAAACGGAACAAGTAGGAGCTCTTTATGGAGGCTTGGATCTAGCCTAGGCCTTGGGGCTGAGGGCTAAAATACAAGCAGGCTGTGTTGTGGTTCAAGTTTGAGTGTGGTGCAGTTTTGGTTGCTAGCCTGGGAGACCAGTCAGATATTCAGGACAGACGTCCTGGGCAGGAATAATGAATATGAAAATACTAGAATCTCTCTTAAAGACAGTCACAGAGAAGTAGGCAGATTTGGAGTTGAAGTCCATGAGAATAAAGGACACAATTTACACACAATAACAGAACTAAGTAGAAATGTTATCTATACAAAATGGCATATCAACAATGATAATATTAAATTTCATATTTAAATTTATACTTTCAATGACAATTAAGAATTAACCAGTATCTATAACAGTCTTCTCCAGGAAAGGTAGACCATTAGTATATTTTTACCTATTACCTTCTACTATTTGACACGTTTGTTGAATCATCTGGTAGTTTAGGTTCAGACTGTGACTGTGAGAGTACTATCTGCTTTTATTTTATGCCATTACTTTTTTAAAAATTATTTTTTAATAATTTGATAAAATTTGAAAGCCATAGTATCAACACAAATTCATATTTAACTATAAATTATCATGATTTATTTGCTCCTTGTTTCTATAACTCATGTTCTCTTTCTTAGAATCTTTCGTTTCGCTGGAAAATATTCTAAAGTATTTTTTTCAGAAAAGGTTCATGGGAGAAAAGCTTCCTGAGTTCTGACATTTCTAAAAGAAAAATGTCTCTATTTTGTCCTTACTTTATACTCACACTTGAGTGCTAGTTTTGCAGGATATAGAATTCCAGGATAACAAGTATTTTCCTCTAAAAACAGTAAAAGATTTGTTCCATTTTCTTTTAGAATTTATTTTAAATGATGTTAAGTCTAATACTGGTATGATTCTTGTTCTTATGTAACTTTTTCCATTCTTTTAATTTCTGGAAACACCAAATTTGAATTTATGTCTAGGTGTAGGTAGCTTTGTTTGTTTGTTTTCTTGGCACTAAGCGGATCTCTTCAATCTGAAGACGAGAATCTTTCTTCAACTCTTCAGTTTACAGAAACTTCTGAACCCTTTAAAAAATATATCCATCCATCTATCTATCTATCTATAGATATATAAATATATATATGACTATTTCTTCCCTTCAATTACTCTTTATTTTTGTGTGTTTTGATGTCCTATTTTCTTTTTACTTTTACTTTAGATTCTTAGTTATTTACTTGATTTATCTTTGTTTTACCAAATATATTTTTAATTTCCAAAAACCTTTTCTTAATCTATGAATATTGCTTTTTTTTTTGGTGAGGAAGATTGGCTCTGAGCTAACATCCATTGCCAATCTTCCTCTTTTTGCTGAGGAAGATTAGCCCTGAGCTAACATCTGTGCCCATCTTCCTCTATTTTGTATATGGGATGCCACCACAGCATGGCTTGATGAGCAGTGTGTAGGTCTGCGCCCGGGATCCGAACCTGCAAAGCCCAGGCTGCCGAAGCAGAGTGTGTGAACTTAACTACTACGCCACTGGGCCAGCCCCAATATTTCTTTTCTTATCATAGCCTTTTCGGTCTTAGTATTCTGCCTTGGGTCATTCTGAGGATGTCAATTTAAAAAATTTCATGTTATATTCTATTCCTTACATTATCTCTGTTTCCTCTGAAGTTAGTTCTGCTTATTAATCTTGGCTTGTCTCTAATACCATTAGTCTTCCTTAAATATTTAGTGGTCCTTAGTTGTTCACGTTTATGAATGAAGGACTGGGCTGATCCATTCAAGTAACCGATGAAGATATCCTTCGTGGATGTGTAACAATCTTTCCCCAGTAGGCTTCTTTCTTGCTCCCTAAATAATATCATTTAAATTTTGCATTTTAATAATTTCTTTGAACATTATATAATAGGAAATATATATATCTACTTCTGAAATTTTTTATTTTGCTCAATACGTTTATGAGACGTATCGATATTAATGAACACATTCATTGTTCACTGCTCCTTTGGATGATACAGTATGACTCTACTATCGTCCTGTTGTCCATTTTCCTGTAGGTTGACATTCGAGGTGTTTTTATTTTTTTGCTGTTATAAAAAATTGGTTCTATTAGCCAGTTTGTAATAGGTCTCTCCTACTATTAGTATACATCACAATTCACTTTTTACAAAATATTATTTCTAGTCACAAATATTTACGATGATATTCAGTCATGTTAAAATTATCAATGGAATAAAATCCTTTAGACAAAAATATTCAACAGTGAAATATCACTGGCAACAAGAATCTTAAAGGGAAATCTCTAAATCCATAGAAAAAGATTTTAAGTAAAGATAACAGAAATAGGCTGAAAAGAGATCTTGAAAGAAAATAATAAATTTTACAAATGAAGAGCTAAAGGACTTCAGAAACTTCCAATTCAGTCTTTTTTCTCATGTAAAAATTTTATTCATAGGTTTTATATTCAGTCTTTATTGACAGATAAGAAAAGCGGGATTTGTGAAATTATATAGCTTTTTCAATGTAACAAAGAACTTAGTGATCTTTCACTGTCGTATTTCAGGCTATAAATAAGATAGACGCAGCCTTGCACTTCTGAAAGCAGCAGGTAAATGGACACAATTTTCTTATCACCCAAGACACAAGAACAGTCAACCGTTCTTCACCTAGATTTACCTGGGGTACTTGTTTCCATTGCACCAGCCAGGTAGAACTCCGTCAGCACGGCCATCTTAGCCTACTTTCACTTGGGATTTAAAAACTGACCAGGAAAAGGCATTGCTCAAGAATTATTTTGGCACAAATGTTCAGCACTTTTTTCCACCAGATAACTCTGACCAAAAGTAAGTCAAAAGCAGTTAGTGACCTGTGGTGACATGATTCGATATAGTACTAGACGAGATTCTAGAGTGGACTGATTTGCAGTCTGTTCTCACCTTAGCATTTTGGATGCAGGGACAGAGGGCCCAAGCTGCACTGGCCTTCACGTCTGGGTGAGGATTTTTCAGTAGGGACCACAACAAACGAACACCATCTAAGCGATCGATTATCCTGTCATGAAACCAAAAATAGTGGTATAAGTTATTCTTAGTACATGACAATGAAAATTTAAATGACCTACCTTTTCACACAATTTTAATTAGTTTTTCTCCTTTCAACATTTTGCTTGGATGTCTTTTACAAAACTTGATCAAGAGCAGGGATATAGCATGCTGTTGAATTGTCAGCTCTCTGATGTCAGTTCTAAATTCATGACACAGAAAGCAAGCTCCATGATAATTACAATTTACATAAACTTAAAATCAAGCCATGTCATTTTTTAATTAGCTGTACACTGACTGTTGCCTTAATGTAAAAATACTGGTTTCTTTCATATAGTAACATCTAAATACTTCCCAAAACAAATATTTATGCCTCAAAACTGTGCAGTTACCTTTTTTATTTGGTCTATGTTTAATTGACTTTCCTTACTGTATGACATATTTTAAACTCCTCCAGTCATAATCTAGCATTCGGAATTAAAATAATTACACCACAGTGCATCCTTTGTTGGGCACAAATAACACGTAACTTGTTTTCCATGTGCTCTCTCCCCAGCAAGACTAACATCGCAGACTGTGTTATAATTACTTAAACACACTGTAATCAAAACATCTTCATGACTAGCTGAAAAATGAATTATCATCAGAATCATCTCTACACCATCTGTCTTCTGTTTATATATCAATCAGTCCAGGGAACATAACCTTGCATTAAGGTCCACTGAGTACTTGCAGTTGAGAAGAAGGCCAAACAAAACCTAATATCCTTTACAAACATGGCTTTCTTCAGAAAGATATGTTAAACTCAAAGCAGATGAAAAAAGATAAAGAACATCAAAATTCCTTTGATTTTTAATCTCAAGTAGAGTTAAACACATGTAGTATTTAGCCACAGATAGAATAAATACTGGCTCAGAATGCCATTCAAATTCTTTCTTGAAAATCGACACAAAAACATCTACGTTTCTTGATTATCTGAGATGAGTTTGCCAGAAAAAAAAAAAAGTATTATTCCAGAGGTTCCAAGTATGATATCAGTTTTGCATAAGCTTATAAAACAATTGGTAAGGCAAATAGCTTATAATGATATAAACTGTCTCTTTAAAAAACGACTTTTCATAAGGAAAAGTACATTGAAAAAGTGTTTTTAACCTAAAGCAACTATATAGCTTTCTAAACCTAAAGCTTTCTATCAATATCATGTTGAGAGAAAACCAAGTTTTATTTCTCAATTTATGGAAACTGTAAAGAAAGATACCAAGTGCTTCCCAATGAAGGATTTACTTTACAAACTTAAAAAAGCTTACTGCCTTACATATGCCCCTAAAAACATAATTAATGCTGATCCCTGGGTCTCTATGTATTTTTTCACATGCAATTTCTCAATGAATGGGAGTGAATGATGATCTGTCCTGCCTTCTGGCAAATGTAGCAGTAAAATTTGCCTTAGTAATATTTAACTATACAATGCTGGATATAACTTGTCATTAGAGTGGAAGTCATTTGGATGGCACACATTTTCAGTTTTTTTAAAAAAAGGTAATTCAATTCTGAACCCCCCGAGGCAAAATTTTACAACTATAAAAAATCACTATTAATTACAAAACTAGATCTATTGTCCTCGACCTTCACCCCAAACCCTAGATAATTCATCGGCTGTTTAGTTATAGCAGATAAAGACTGTGACCCCATTATCAATGTCTTAAAAGAAAAGACTTAGCACAGTACAGTGTAATAACCTTAGACGAAGAAAACATTCTTGAAGAACATTTGCAAACACAGGAACTAACAAGTCAGGGATAGCAACCTTCAGAGTTTAACTTTGTCCCTTCCTTCTCTCTTCCCTCATCCTCTGTATTAAATCATTTATTGCTGACTCTTACTTCACAATAACTCAGGTATCCACCCCCTCCATCCCCATTCTCCCTGCCAGCACCCTAATCCTGGTCTTTATTACCTCATACCAGGATTGCTGCAGTAATTGGTTTTGTGTCTTCAATTTCTCTCAATTCCAATCCATCCTATAAATCCCTGTGAAATTAATCTTACTAAAGGAACTGTTAGAGCCTCTGCAGCAGCTCCTTAAGAGCAGGGTCCCGGGGATACTCTTTCTCTCCATCACACCACCCAGCACATTCAGTCAACGCTAGTTGAACAGCTCACAACTGGAAGATCGCTACCAGGAGAACAAGTCTCCCATGGACCATAAAAGATGGATTATTACCATGCCTGCATGGTATTAAAGCCCCAGCTCCTGAACTCAGTATTGAACATTTCCAATGAGCTGCTTTATTCCTCCCAATTCCCTATATTCAGACGTTTGCTCATAAAACTCTCTGGCCATGTACTAAACACTAAGTGCTAAGCATACAAAAATAACACACACGGTCAATTTGTGTTCCTCGGGTAGTTGTTCTATAAAGTCACTGCAGACAGTGAGTTAGTAAGTACTGAACCATTGCTCCTAGGGAGAATATAAAGTTTTGTTCCTGAGACCCTCTGGTCAGAACATTTTCATCAACTGATCAATATATAACCTTGTTTTATGTTTGTTTCTGTTTAAAATATCTTGTTTCATATATGTTGTTGATTCATTAACACTGAACCCATGGCCAACACAACTTATTCAGAGTTCGTGTCTGAATAAGGCTTATCTAACACATGTATTTTCTCTCTAGGGCACATCACAGCCTTCTTGCACTCAGGAATAATATACCAGACACTATTTTGGCACTATGCTTAGGGGCCAGTTTAAACAGCGAAATCACCAGCCCAAAGCACAAAACTGTGAAAAATGTGGCACTAAATAGACTGCAAAAAGGACACTTGTTGTCAGTATGGCAGCCGAAAAGAGAAGGCAGAGTGTAGCCTTGTTTGACCTCAGCTGGAAACAGGTGCATCGGACAACTCCTACTTTTTGCTGTTCTGCACACGTCCACGAGTGACCGCGAAAGTGCTGTAAGTATTGATTTGGAGTTCCGAATAAATTTTAGCAAGGATAGGAATTCACAAATACAGAATCTGCAAATAAAGCGGATTTTAATTGTTCTTCAGGAAACTACAGTCTAGTGAGGGAGATAAAGAGACCATTATAATCTATTACAATAAATGCTACAATCGATGAGTGCATGGGTACCATGTGAACGCAGAGGGGAAACACTAGTTTACTCACAGGCCACAGAAATTCTCCTAGCTGTAAGCCTTTGCCCATGCCATCTCTACCTTTTGCTATAATAATCCATCTTTTAAGGTCTATAATAAAACCTCAACCACAAATACTCTCGCTTCTCCCTCTTTTAGGCTTCTTTTGAGATTTGCTGTCCCCTTTCATAACACATTGCTTCACCTTGTAGTCATGCATGTATGCTTATCTCCCCAATTACTGTGTAATCTCCTTGACAGCAGAATTACATATTGCCCACTATGCTTAGGGCATGCTACTGCAGTCAGTGAATATTGGTTAAATGGACCTGAAACAAAATAGTCTTTGCTTACTCCTTTTTCAATGAATCAAAAATCTCTCCCAATGCAAATACATACAATTTTAACTTCATACTTGCAAAGTGCATGTTCAAATTCTAAATCTAACCAGTAGAGTAAGTTTTCATTTGAAGTTGTCTCTAAGTTGAAAGTGCATTGTCATAGAACATCTTTACAACTTGATAGCTTTTTGCATATACAATGATGGGCTTAGAGGTGGTATTAATTTATACTACTCTCCATTTTCAATGGGTCCATCTCCTTTAGTATAGTTCTTTAATTTGATTAGCATCTTGCTCTGAATTCATTTCCAGCAGTATGTTAGCTCTTCCCTGTATTACCAATACAATTTTACATTAATTCTTTGACATTACAAAAACAAAACTGTATTAGACATTTTCAAAATCTGCAACCTTGTCCTAGAAATCAAACTGTGTAGCTGGCAGAAAAATAGTTTTAGAAAGATAAATACATATTCATATTCTAGCTAGTAAACAAACAAACAAACAAACAAACCAAAAAAGACACAGCTGTTTGTTATGTTTCTCAGTTTCTTTTGTTATATCAACATTTACCAGGATTGTTGAGAAGTCTGGCTGGCTTGCCTGCCCACTGAGGCCACATATATGAACAAATGCGAAGAGCTTGTACCCACATAATGGGCATGACTATGGTTGTCGAGTTTCTTTCTGGTAATGCCAATGCATCTATTTTGAAACCATAATTTTGCATAATTTCTAAAAATTTCACAATATTTGCTGAAAATTACACTGATAAATACTACTGTACGACAGTGGCTCAAACTAAATGTGGTTAGCCTAAAAGAACATGATGTTCTTAAACCACAATAAAGGATGCAACTGAAATCTATAGGTTTTGAAACCAAGTTGGCAATTCAGTAAAAATGGAAACATAAATGAATGTCAGAATTAAACGATCATCTCTGTGAAAAACTATGATTAGGAAAGAATTTTACTTTTTTATAAAAATTCTCTAAGTTTTTATGTTTCTATCTCTCTGTATTACTTTAAAGGGACTATGGGAGACCAAATTTGGAGAAAAGATGTAAATGTGACAGCCTCTGGAAAGGGATGTCCTAGAATTCCCTGGCCTTAGTAAAGCAAGATGATAGTCTATCCTTTTATAGTTGTGTAACCAATATGATTAGAAAAGCTTGAGAAACTTTTTCTCAGAAAAATTATTCATTCTTATAGTAAATATTCAGAGAGCGTCAGGGCTGGCCCAGTGGTATAGTGGTTAAGTTCGGCACACTCAGCTTTGGTGGCCTGGGGTTCGCTGCTTTGGATCCTGGGTGCAGACCTACACACCACTCATCAAGGCATGCTGTGGCAGCGACCCACATACAAAATACAGGAAGATTGGCACAGATATTAGCTTAGTGACAATCTTCCTCGAGCAAAAAGAGGAGGATTGGTAACAGATGTTAGCTCAGGGTCAATCTTCCTCACCAAAAAAAATATATAAATATATTAAGGGAGTGCCTATCACGTGCCAGGCAATTTTTGAGAC